AGCAAATTATGAGAAAGTTTCACTTCCCTGCCAGTTTGGAGAGCTGTTAGAAAGTCTTTTTTTTTTTTTTTTGTAATGCATTTGATGTTGCATTTGATCTCTATTCACAGGAGGACTTGCATCCCATAGGATGACTAATGAACTACATTTTAGATACATACATGATCAACTTCTATGACACTTTTTTTTTGGTAACTTTGTTGTAGTTTAAAGAAACAATAAATTCTTACAAGTTTTCACTGCTAGAGAGCCTGTTTTGAAAGCTGCATTTATTTTCCTTTACAATGAAGTGGCAGTAATAACAGGCAAGCAACTGTCACTTTTTACGCAGGTATTTTTCAGCACTGTCACAGTAATTTCAACGCAAACAAAGCAATCTATATGTTTAGTTACCAGGAGCCCAACAAGATACTCTTCACACTCAATACACTGATTTTCTAGCTTAAATAGTCAAATATATATTTCTTGCATGCGTGGGAATTCTGTGTTGTGAGAAGACACCAGGGGAAATATATGTGAGGTTAACATCACACGTTCCCTGGAATTCCAGGTTCAACAATATGGAAAATAAGGTGAGAAGTCTCAAATACTGCACATCCAGTGTCTATGCCAATATCAGAACACAAAGTACTAAATGTAATCTACAAACTGGTTTGTCAAAGTATTAAGATTTCAGTTTAAAGCTGAAATTCCAGTCAGCAAGTTCTACCTCATAATATCACTTTATTAATAATCAACGTCACATTAGGATGACTACCCAATAACTTGCTAAAAGAAGAACACAACCATGGAGCAACTACACAGTTAAAAGCAGTGCTATGGTTGGAAGAAAAAAAAAAAAAAAAACAACACACACAACACAAAACCAAAAAACAAGCATATTCGCTCTCGTCAACCTCCTCTTCTCTGTTTTTCTCCACATTTCTATCGCTGTTTCCAATCCCTTTGCTCTCTGTCTTGTGGCATGGTATGTGTGTGTGTATATATATATATGTGTATATATATATATATACACTAGTGAAGTTGCGGTGGGTTTTAGTTTTCTGTAGGTTTTTTTTCCCCTTTCCACAGTATAAAATACATCCTTGTCTTTTCTTGCAGCTTTTTTTTTTAAATAAAGATCAGCATTTGAAAGCAATTTATACTGAAACAAACCTGAAGCCCTTTTTATAAATATCCATTCTAAATTCCTATTGCAGAAAAGCTGACAAGCGTAAACAATCTAATTAAAACAGTCATAGGTTATGCGCTTCCAAGGGCTCCTCAATGTAAATAGTGCACATGTTCTTTGAAAACAGCATCTGATTTGTGTCAATCACATGTACAAGGAGGACTCAAACTCAGGCAGTCAAAAAAAGAGATGGTTGTGATGATGATGGACACAGCACTTCTTAAGTGCTGCAACAGAACGCCTTTCTGGGATGTGTTTTAGGGTGTTTTGTTTTAGGGTTTTTTTGGTTTTGTTTTTTTTTTGTTGTTTTTTTGTTTTGTTTTGTTTTTTAAATGAGGACCACATCCAAAGTTTCTTACCTCTGTTCAAGATTCACTACTCATCCACCAATATTTCAGAGCTTCCTACATACAGAAAAACCCTCAAACAAAGCAATGCCTAAATGCAAAAGCTCTTCAGAATGAGCTGCTCCAGTACAACATTCCTCACTGACATCTCTGAAGGAAAAGAGTAACTAGTAAAGAAAAGAAGTATCTTGAATCTGTTATTTATAGCGAGGAAAATTAATTTGCATTCAGTACTAGCATTAAAGTAGCAATAATGTATGCTTCATAAAGTAACTCTTAAATATAATTGTCAGTTTTAATAACTAAATGTGTGCTTGGAACAACAGTACACATACCAAAATAGCAAAGTGGATTTCAATAATTATATAACAACCTAAAGGAACAGAAATTCAGTATTTCTTATCTTTACAATGTAGGTTGTTTTGAGCATTTAGAAAACAGTCTATCCATGTATTTAAAAAAACCCAACCAAACAAAACACAACAAACCAAGACCAAACCACACCTTCAACTCCATTGTGCAATCTGTTTCTAGTCAGTGGATCTACTTTCATTCCCAAGGATACGCTACTGAAAGAGAGGTATTTATCTTCTTATTGCAAAAATAAGAATGAGATCCTAGCTTACTATTAAGGGACTTCAGTGTTGTGGCTGGAGATCTTTTGCTCGGGGAAAAAACCTAAAAAGGTTCAGTACAAGAGCTGTTACTAAAATGAGCATTAGACAATTTCCATTTACACATCCCTGTTCTTCAGGTGTGGTTCAGAACAAGCACCATCTATTTGACTGTTAAATACTCAGCAGGGATCTGTCAACCAGGGCTTGCACAAAATAGCCACAAATGTTACTTTCTGCTCAGCAAAGTGAGCTCAGTTCTTACTTAAAACCATTCAGAGATCCTTGTCAGTGTTATCCCTGAGAATATTCTCAGATCTCAAAAATGAAATATTTAAAAGACTTAATGAAAGCTAATTACTGAACTGCGATACTCAGTAGAAAATTTAAATTCAGTTCAGCAAAACATTTGGCATGGAAAAATAAACTATAGGAACAAGTTAGTGCTCTGTCACAGTGTAACAGACCTGCCATTCATTCAGAGTTGTGGTCAATATTTCCATTAAAAAACTTGTTTATCAGGAATTTATTAGGGGAGTTATTAAGCAGCTACACCTCAAACTGTCTTGGTGGACAACATTTTCTGCAAATTCAAAGAGCTTTCCTATTACTTAAAAAAAAAAATAAAAGGAAAAACCTGTTGCACCCCTTCATAAACACAAGATGGCTTTCAAAAGCGTATTTTCTACTCTTAATTCCCGCAATCATATTTCTCTCTGGTAAGTCTTCATAATGCTCAGTCCATTTTCCCTTTTCTGTGTTTCAACCTGCAAGTCACAGTTTTATTTTTGACTGCCTGAGCAAGCATCCTTGAAATATCAGGAAGCATCATTGCTCCACTTAACCTTCACCTACCAAAATCTGCTGCTGTTGAAGTTAAGTAGACAAACAAAACCAATTCCCCAACAATTTGAAATTACAACATCTGTAGCCCTAATCAGCCACTGACTTCAGAAAGGCAAAATACTGCATTTTTGAGGACAGTGTGGCAATAGAAGTTAAAGTAATAATAAACTTTGAAATGGCTTACAATGATAGCTCAAACCATGTTAAACTTAAGTCTGAACAGGTAGTAATTAAGTCTGAACAGGCAGTATCATTCTAATTGCTGGACTTTCTTTGAGGAAGCAACAGAATACAAGATATTCCCCTTCTTCTAAGACTAAAATGCATTTCTTCAATAAATAGAAATAACAACAACAAATTTGTGTCATCCTCTACTGCTGGGACTACTCTTAACACGGTAGGTAGACCTAACTACCTGAGGCCTAGCTACAATTTTCCAGGGCACAATAATGAACACTATCTTCCCATTTTTTGCACAGATAATTAGTACTTACTCATTCCCCCAATGCCCTCACCATTAAGGTAATATATATCAAAAAATATTTTCTTCAGACCTGTGCATGCCATTTTTTAAATAACAGTGCTGACCTATGACACTTAACTAGCAATGCTTTCCAAAATTGCCATTGTAGACTTGACTTATCCTAATCCACCCAAGATCAACATTTGCTGCTTAGTTACCCTATTCATAATGTAGATGAATATAATTCTTTTTAAAAACAACCAAAAACAAACACACAAATTGGACAACGTTTACTTCGTAACTTTGAAAAGGAAAATTTGATCAAAAAGAAATGAATTCATACGTCTGAGTTGAAAAATATGTATGTCTTGAACTATTGGCACAGGATAAAAAAGATTCTGCCTTTAATCCAAGGAGGTATGGCCGTCATATTCCTCAACACATGCATCTTGGAAAGCTAACCGGGAAAGTCTTTTCAAGCATAGCAATCAACTGAAAGAGTAATCTGACATCTCAAATGACAAACTTGAGTTTCATAGGTCAGATTAGTTTGGAACAACATAGTAACAAGGAAACTACTGATCCTCACTGTCGTGCTAAGCCAAGGTGAAGACTTAGCCTTTGATTACGTACCAAGGCACAGAACTTGACTAACTGGATTCAGTTCAGGACTGCAAAAAAGGCTGCTTCACAAGAAAAGCATCCAGTCAAATTGATCCAAAGAAACTTTGCTCTACCAGACCATAGGTACTGGCCTCAAAAGAACACATAAGGTATGTGAAGAAAGGAGAAAAGGAATCCACTAACATAGCAACACTTAAACAGACACTAAATAAACAATTTATTTTATAAGTCTTGGACTACTTTGTTGGTAAGACAGTAAAAAGCAAAGCAGCAAATAAGTCTCAATAAAACTAAAGGATGACTACACTCTAAAGCACAAACTATTATCCTTATTTAATCTGAGTAGTAGCTAAAAAGAAGTCACCTTTAGTCCTCTAACAAATCCTGGATATTTGTATTTCAAGGGCATTCTCCTCTTTCTTTTTTTTATTTTAATTTTTTTAAATAGGTCAACTTGGAGTTTTAGCACAGTGACTTTTTTCAAGCCCTAAAGCTACATCTAAAAAAACATTACCCTTCAGAGTTCCCAGATTTCAGGTCTGGGGACATCGTGATATGCTCCAGCAAGATTTCTGATCTGGACAATCAAGGGACGGAGGCTGCAGGGCACAACACACTGTACCACACACCGTGCGGTACAATTACTCTGTAATTAGAAGTAGACCAACCAAATACAAATAGAATCAAACTGGCTTCTTTTAAATTCTCTCATGAACTGCCAGAGAAGCACTGCTTTTGAACTGGCAAGGGCAAGACAAAATTTACAGCAGTAAAAGAATTAGAGGGAAGGCACTAATGCTCAAAGTTTCAGCAGAACACCAAAGACCCTATGTCATTTCACTTTAGGTTATAATGAGAGCCCCAAATTCTACCTTCAAGTATTCTTGGCGAACAAGCAGTTTTAGATAGGAGACCAAAGGCAAATAATTACTAACCTTTCTACATTGACTGGCTTGTCAAATTTAAATAGAATATAATCCCCAGCAACTGGTGTGACAGCCCAGAAAAAATCCTCCCCTACGTAGGTTTTTTCTAGTGTATGCCCCTGGTAGACTTTTAAAGATGTTGAAACTTCTGCAGGTGGATTCACGTGGATTTTATGCAGTAATGGTTTCAGGAAGTCTTTATCCTAATTGAAAGAAAGACAAATATCATTCTGGTCAGATAACCTGTTTTATTATGTTCTTTTCCCAAGTGGTTACACTTAAAACAAACACTTGCATAAAATGGAAAATGAACGCATTACTCATTTTTGGGTGTATCAGATCTTGTACTGATTAATAAGATGAACATGCCATTAAAGTAAAAAAACTAGAAAAAATATTGCCTAGCAAAAATCCACAAAAATAAGCTGAGATTAGCACTTCTTATATTTGGTAATAACCAGTTTAAATCAGATTTCATTCCTACTGGAGTAACAGACAACATACTTGAAAATGCCAGACAACAAGAAAATGCCTGTTTTTTCAAAGACAACAGAGTTTTTCATTTAATCAGCCTGCTCCGGAAAGGAAGGAAAAATTTTAGCTACTAACTGTGAGTTTTTGGATCTTCCCTGCTAGAGAGGAGTGCAGGCCAACATGCTGGAAAAGAGAAGGCCTGAAGCGTATCCGTAGGTTGGATTTCTGTCGATCACAATGTTTCTGAAATGTGGGGAGGGGGAGGAAAGGAAGGGTTAAAAAAAAAAAAAGTCACATTAGTAAAACCAACACAAGGTTGCTGAGTTTTTACTGCAAGTATGTGATGTCACATGAACCAAAGACTCAACAAGAACCCAGACCTATTTATCCAGGTCTTGTTTTCATTCCAGGAATCTACCAAGACTGCTGTGCAAATATAACACTGTTCAAGGTTCTTGCACAGAACCTGTTTACTTAGTCTTTCAGCAAGGGTGCTACTTGAGAAATGGAGAACCAAAATCCAAAGTTTATTCCCCATTCGGAACCTTCTCTATAACTGCTACCCAAGCAGTGGCATTCTGCAGAGCCTTAGTGAGGGTGACATGAATGCATTTATTTTAGGACCCTTACACACAGAAACTAACTAGACTTTTGCTTTTCATCCTACTGCATCCACCTCCAAAATGTGAAACAATAACAGTTTAAATGTCTCTCAGAACTGTCTCTCTAAAGTTCTTTTTGAGATTAAAATCTTGGTAGGAAGAAAGACTCTTTCAGGACATGCAGCAACCGTAATACACAGTATGCCAGCCTCTCAGCTCACCAAAACCAACTCATTCACGATCATGAAAACATTTTAGAAGCTTTATAATAAAAAGAAACTTACAGCATCTTTCTCAGGGTTACACACTTTCACCCAGAGGATATGGTCCAGGAGCCAATCAATAGGTTTCTCCTTATAAAACATAAATATGAACTCTACAATAAGAGTGATATCTGGAGACTGGAACATTTTACCTGTGACGACATTAAGAATAACTGGAGTTATTTTAAAGATAACATGGTCTTTTGAAATCAGTGAAACAATATAGAAGTTTGTGTCAAGACAAGAAAAGTTAGCAATGAACAACTTGAAATCTCAATGTTATTAAAAGCTCCATACCTTTTAGCTATGCAAAACTAAATAGAATAACTATTCAAGTAAGTACTCATATCTTGGTGCTATCAAAATACTCAATGTATACTACAACACAGTCTCCTTAAGAACAGAAATTGTAAGTCTGCAAAAATAGAGAAAGAAGAGTTATGGATTCATGTCTATCACTCTCCATGCCACATGTAAGCTTCAAGCATGTGAGACAAGGAGCTGTTGCAAGTGTTACCTGCCCAGTCACACAATTTCAGCTTCTGCAGGTACAAAAAGTGGAGAGGCAATGCCTGCCACTAACTCCAGATCCTTCTGTGTAGAAAATCAAAGGGAAAGAAGGAAGCTACTAGAACATTACCAGAGACAATGCAACTGAGAGAGAGAGAGAGAGAGACATTGCCTAGCAGCAACCGGAGTTTTTTTCTGAAATGCATAGGCCATCAGCAAACTCGTACCGAGGGCATTTCCAACTAGCCACACTCCAAGCAGTCAGCTGCCCAGTAGAGTGTCTAAGTGCCTCCCACAAACAAAACCTGCAGAACTTCTTTGCCAAGTATTGCCACGACTTTGGGGCTTCCAAGCCAGCATACCGCTTGGCCAAGTACAGATGGGCTTCTGGGTGGCACTGCGCTACAGGATTCCGGGGAACCCTGCAAACTGTGAGGTTTAACAGAGGCCTTGGCAAAAGAAGGAAAATTACTGTTGATGAAGAAAGTTTATTTTCTGTCAACAAGAACAATTATTTATGAGGTTGGGGAATACACTTCACTGCTAGTACAGGTGTCTGAAGAGAAAGGTGGCCAATACACTGGGCTATTTTGTTAAACTGAATGCAGCACTTAAGAAAAGTGCCTTGTATGAAGATGTTGTGTCAAGGTTTAACCCCAGCCCGCACCAAAGCCCCATCCAGCCTCCTGCTCACTCCCCCCTGCATTGATATGGGGGAGAGAATCAGAAAGGTAATATTCGCGGGTTGAGATAAAGACAGTTTGATAGGTAAAGCAAAAGCCGTCCATGCAACCAAACCAAAACAAGGAATTCATTCCCCACGTCCCATGGGCAGGCTGGTGTTCAGTCATCTCAGGAAAGCAGGGCTTCATCACGCCTAACGGTTACTTGGGAAGGCAAATGCCATTACTCTGAATGTCCCCCATTCCCTTGACTTCCCTCCACTTTACATGCTGAGCATGATGCCATATGGTGTGGGATATCCCTTGGGTCATTGGGGTCAGCTGTCCCGGCTGTGTCCCCTCCCAACTCCTTGTGCCCCCCCAGCCTCCTCACTGGTGGGGTGAGGTGAGAGGCAGAAAAGGCCTTGGGGCTGGGTAAGCCCTGCTCAGCAGTAGCTAAAACATCCCTCTGTTATCAACACTGTTTTCAGCACAAATCCAAAGCACAGCCCCACACCAGCTACCCGGAAGAAAATTAACTGTACCCCAGCCCAAACCAGCACACACTGCTACCAGGAGCAACACGTAACTGGGAGCGGGGCAGTCCAAGGATAAAGACAGACTGACAAGTGCTTATACCTGGGCCTGAGTGCCAACTAAACTCCCAAAGGCCATTCCAGATTTGAGGGTAGATTTAGAAAACATCATCAGGTTTGCAGATGAAGTCTGCCTCTGCTTTGCTAGGCTACAATGGAGGAGGCAAAGGAGAAAGACATTACATGACAACAAATGTCTTCGGAGGACACCGGCTGAAGTGATTCAGTTCTGCAGATGGTGCCGAGACGTGGGCAGTGCTGACTTAGACAGGCGTGGGCTCTTGGGGCACGTGTGCATTAATGGATCAGGGTCCAACAGAAGCTCTTCTCCAATGCAAACCTCCTGCCTGTCCACACTTGGGAGTTCTGTACAACTCACTAACACACAGCACCTAGCCATGTGAATCTACGAGGCCTTCAAAGGCTTTTTAAATAACAAGTTCCACAACTGGTAGAGGTCCTAATATTTTCTCCTTCTACATTTAGGAAAAACAGCTGGAGTAGACATTAAGAACAGTTTCTCTCTGAGGTAGAAAAACACTTCCCACACTCATCAGAAAATGGGATTTGGTTCTCATCTACAAGAGTACAAAATTCTTTGGAAAGGCCACGAAGGAGCTGTATAGGCTAGTCTGGATGACAAACAAATAGGGAACAACATTTTGTATAAAGTTTAAAACTGTCAGCAGTACAGCACTCCACTTGAGCAGCTGGCTGAGTGGAAATGAAGAAATGGTGCAAGCAGTCTACCTTACTTAGCCATTAAGGAGGATGTTCACATCTATACAAACAGAAGAGAGGATATATAAGTCTTACTACACAAAAGGTAAAAAGTTATCTAGCCTTAAATGATTAGGAACATATATCTCCACTGTGAATGTACATGTGGACTATCACTCAGAGACAGATAATTTAGTTACTTCTCTTTTTCTGAGGTTCACTGAGGTCTGTAATTCATAAAAGATTATCGCAAGGCAGCAGAAAAAAAAAACAAGGAGATGGGAGTTCAAATTCCTGTCGTAACAGGGACCGAAAATCTCTCTAGTGGAACAGGTGACTGAGCCTGGCACATTAAACAATATCTCAGAGCAGATATAGAATGCCAGGTTGTTAGCTTACATATATTAGCAAAAAGGGTATTTTTAAGGGAAAGCAGCAAAGCTGCAGGGGCCCTGCTTTGTGTGCTCTGATAATGCCAGGTATCCGACTCTTCCATATGGAGATTTGCTTTGAGAACGCCAGGATCTTGAATTGTAAGATCCTTTATTTTCTCAAAAAGAGAATACATACTCAGGAGACCACCTAAAGGGCCTCATCCTTTCCAGAAAACAGGTCTGATACAATCTCACTCCCTTAGGACTTGTATGAAATTGGGTAAGAATATAGCCAATGAAATAACACTTATTTTGGAATTCTGAGATGAGTTTGGAGAGGTCTGAGCAAGGCTACATTATCATGAAGTACAATAAATATGGAAGAAGTACCTGAAAAAAGTCCCAATTATTTCCTCTGTTGGAATGATGCCATATTCACAGAGCAAACCATTCACACAGCGGGGTGCAGAAGTAAATGTGGTATGACATTAACTGACCTGACATTGCTAAATCAAAGTTATCCCTCACAGAAACCTTTAATTTGGCTGTTTATAAAGCAAAAGCATTGACATCACTTGTAAGTGCTTGTTGCAGTGAGGTCCTCAAATAAGCATCTCCACTTAAAAATACTCTGTAACTAAAATTTGAAGCTCCTACTAAACTACGGACAACTGCAAAGATTTCTTCTTTAGAGACATATGAAAGATGTTATGATTCCTTATTAGTATTAAAATTTGAAGCTCCTACTAAACTACGGAGCTGCAAAGCTTTCTTCTTTAGAGAGATACGAAAGATGTTATGATTCCTTATTAGTACATTGTTACCATTTACACACTATATTGTTGTCATATTGTTTAACATTATTTGTGGAAGTAAATATTTAAAAATGGGTAGGAAACAATCATACGATTTGTACAATATTGTGTAAAATATTCATGCAGAATAACAGTTCTTTTAGCTTGTCACACTTCCAACTAAATGGGCTCCCAATTTTCCTGGTGATTCATCTCTGCCTACAGCTTTCAATAGCATAGGGCAGGAGTAGGAAAAAAAAAAAAAAAAGAGAAATCCTAACCTAACACCAGATGACAAATGGGACTAATCAGATGTTTATGGGATGTTTATGGGACTGAAACCATCATTTCTAGATATTTGCTGAGGTAGTCTGTCAGTCACACCTGCTCCCATAGGAAGCGGACCTCTCCACATGGTGTCTGAGAGATGCACAATACCATGCGACTCAAAAGACAAAAACATCCCCACGTTATTACTCCAAACCCAAAGGACGCAGACTGACTGAAGAGACAGTTTATCCTCTCCCACGAGGTATACACAGTCACGTTGCTCTGGAATCCTTTTCTTTTTCTACCCGAGGACAGAGCAACAGAATCACACTGTACATTTTTTCCTTTGACTAGCTCACCTTCTGAAGAGCACAAGGATTACAGTCTTCAGTTATCACCTATGGTGAAAAGACACTCACTGACCATGTCACTTAAAACCTGAACATTAAGGTACAGGATTCCTTACCTACAATTAAATAAGCAGAGTACAAGACTGAAGGTAAGAGTAGGAATTTACACTTTTCCCTAATTTAAGTTATCCTAATTTTACCTAAAATACAAACAGGATATCAACAAACAAATTATTTACTTCCATATGGCAAACTTGTCTAGGCCCAGAGGCACTCTCCTTTAGACCTAGATTGGCATACTACTGTCAACCATGTAGTCAACCACCTCTGACTCGGGAAATAATCTAGTTAACATCGTGATATCACAGGATGCACCAGGGAAAAAAAAAAACCAAACACAAACATACATCCAACTGCAACTCATCAGAATACGCTAGGTAAGCATCAGCTGGCTGTACCTGCACTAGCATCTTCAGACCCAACTGGCCTCTCTACATTACACTGCCCAGCACCATGGAAGGGTTCAACAGTACAAAGTGAAAGCCAGGACTGGAAAAAAAAATATTGTGGAACACATTCTTCTATTTATTGTGCCCTGTCAAGACTTCTATCCGATTTTCAGTCCATTTAAATGCTATCCTTAGTGAACTATTCTGGCCCCCTCAGTATTTTGTTGGCAAGTACAAGACACACAAAAAATGAAAAACTTTGGTTTTTACAATTCTCTGAACTGCAAATATCTAAATCATTCATTTTCATTCTTCCACATAAGCAGAACTGAATGTATTCAGTCTACACCACCAACAATTTCATATCTGCAAGCACATATTCTAACTATAGCTGAAGTCTTTCAATGCTTTCCCTGTTAATGATATGCAAATTACTGGCATTAAAACCAGAACCTCTTTGAAGTTATTTAAATCTCAAATATTTGACTTTATCTACTCTTCCCCAAACTTCCAACTATGTGGACCGTTTGAGCAAAACTGTAATCAGAACAACTTAAAATAATCAGAACAGGCCTTAAAACATCAGAGCACAGTAAGATTCAGAGGAATCATATAAGACAATCAAAAGGTTGATTTCAGATGGTTACATGAAAAGTTTGCAACAGCTGGCATTATAGCCACAGCGCAGACTATTGCAGATCCTCTGGAAAACACTTCATCTCACAGGCAGTTGGAAGACAACTCAATATTTCTCAGAAAAAGCTAGCAGGACTTTCCTATGTTAGGTCAGGGACCGCAGTTCAAACCAGAATCCAGAAGAGGAAAAGATGCATCTCCTTCCACAGAGCTCCTTCGGGAAACAGCATACATCTCACCCATTATTTATTAGATACTTGACAGCATTTAAGACTATGCTTTCAGTATCAAAAAAAAACCCCAAAGGTAGCAAGTTCTGCTCTGTGGCAGAGGTGACAGAATTCTATAATCCTGCTGTCAGCCTAAATAGCTGCATTTGCCACTTCCTCATGGAGTACTTGCATAAATTAGATTTTCAGTTCAGAAATACACTATGACAAAAAACATTTTTACCTAGCAAACTTGCAAGCTGATCAAGGTTTCCAATAGCTTACAGCAAATCAGCCACATGTCTTTAGAGACTATTTCTAAATCAGTAGCATCTAGGCAATTCAGTGCTCTACTTTCTCTCTTAGACATCTACACATAAAACTCATCCCCATTTACAAACAACTACTTTTGCTCTTCTCCATAGCTATCCACATTACCAAATTACCGTAGCATCAGTTTGCATCAAGATCCATAAAGGGATAGCAGAGATGAGGCAAATCTACATTACTTGCATAAAATTTCTATGCAATATGTGGTTACAGCACATCAATGTGTCTCAAAGTCAGAAGTTTTAGTCACTTTCATGAATATAAATTTTTCTCTCAAAACTTAAAAGCAGGATAAGTAGCTAAATTGGGAGAACAAAAATCTAATTCAATTTTCGAGGTAGAAAAGTAACATTAAGATGTGCAGCCATAGCTAAATGCATCTTAAATTCTACTGATATCATCTAATTAAAAGGAGGCAAGCAAATATGACACAAGGAACATAGAACACGGATGCAAGCAGCAGGAGCTAACAACTAAATTTAACTACAACTATTTTCAGAGCCTACACTGAAAAAAGTATATAGACAGTATAGAAAAACAACTCTAAAATATTTCTAAACAGTTACGCAGGTGATTAAGCCAAATCTCAGTATTAAGAACTATCTACCTACCCCTTCTGGCATCAACATTGTGCTCTCTATAGCAGTACTGACAACAGAAAGGGGAGTGAAATACACAAATAGTAAGTGATCTGAAATACATCTGCATGGGGTAGACGCTGCATGTCCTAAACTGTAAGTTGGTTTTACACCCATTTTGACACGTCAGTCTTAGAAAACTGCAATTTGTAAGCGAGTATGCTCTACTACTAAAGTAAGCACATGTAGAATGAATGCAAATTACTTCTGTAGCCCAGGAACTTCATACAGAATTTACATTTAAGGTACAATCAGGACTGGAGTTAAAACTCTAACCCCAACTAAGCCCACAATTTCAGTTTAACTCTTCAAAAGAAGAAACAACGCCTAATCAGATGCTGGTATTCAACCAGTCTCTGCAGCCACAGAATCAGAGAGAGTTGCAAGGGGCTTCCCAACAGAAGAGACAAGTCTATTTAGGGCAAAAGCTCAGTACATTATTTAAATGCTTATTTCTCCATTATAGGCAGCTCCGTTTCCTGTTTCTCCCTTCCACCTCTAAGGCCACAAAATCAGTCCCATAACTATTTCAGCAACAGCACATCTCTGTTGGTAGCCCAAGGCAACCAGATCGGTTATGTGGTGGCCCAACAGATAAGGAGACTTCCCTCTGCCCATTTCCTCTCCTCCTCTCTGTTGTTTCTGTCAGTTAGACTGACAGGCAAATGTACAAAGTACCATTTTGTACCCTAACATAGTGTGTTTAGGAGATAACTACTGTTTTCCTTTCTACTCAGTGAATCTCTGAGACCCTGAAAGTCAGGGAACTATTGCCTGAGCAATGGCTGGAAACAGGATAGTACTCGCCGTTCACACACTCCCAACAGTTCTCAGTGCTACCATTATGGGTCACTGAGCTCAAAATGAAGCCATTCTCTGGAAAGTAGATCCAAAGTAAAAACAAGAGAACAACAAGAATTTTCAAGAGAACAACCGAGAACTCAGGACTGCACTTTATCTGTTACAAGCAGGATTTTCTTCCTGTTCTAAGCTCAACTTACAGCCTCTGCATTGGAATTGTTTGTGTTGACTACATACAGTAATCTCCACAGCCTGACTTAGCTTTTGATTTTTCCTCACAGATCTCAAGCTTAGTGCTTTTAAAGAGATCATGACACATCACCACAGCAATGAAATAACCTTCTGATTTGTAAAATCCCTTCAAAACTTCCCTTTCATTGCTTTTCTGTTAAGTCGAGTACCTCTCAATAAAAACATATTAGTGTAAGAGCAAAGAACCATAAAGTAATTTCAACAGCACCCTGGTAGTCAATCCACAACAGCCCGAGATGCTGCATTAGCTTCTCTCACTATTGTTCATTGCAAATAACAGATAGACTCTAACTACACCTAGGAAGGAGCAGATGGTCATAAATTCTCTTTGATGGAGTAGAAAGGGGGAGATAGAACAAGCTTGGCAACCAAGACAAACTGATACCTGCTGATTCTTGGAAATTTTGGCACAAACACCAATGAAATTGGTTTAGGTGGAGTTAGTTTTCATGTTTTTTTCTTTTACTTCAGTCACTTGCGTTTTAATGACGTTTTTGTTTTAATGGCAGCTAAATTAAAAATAAGTCATTCCATGCAGATTGACTGTTCTTATTTTTATAAATTAATTAACTTTTGGTTATAAAAATGGCCTCTTTTCCAACAGTTTGAGTTTGCCTCAGTCATACAAAAGTATACGGAACAACTGGAAAAAAATCAAACCAAAACAAAACCCATGAGTTAAACCAGAGTTCCTAAAAAAGCCAGTAAATTTCTACTTCTTGGTCTATTTCCAGTAGAAAGAAGAAAGCTTTGAAGTCAGATCATTATTAATTCACAGAGTCTGAGGATGAATGTGCTCTTTCGAATTACTAAAGTGAACATCTTCTTACCAATGAAACCCAGCTGAGAAAATTCTAGAATCATCCAATCTTCAGAAGCGAGCTGAAGCGCAAAATTTTTTATCGTGCTGAAATAATTCTGCTTGACAACGATGTCATCTTCAAGCTAGAGGAAGGTGGCAGTGATATCAACGTTAAAAAAAGCACCAGCAAAGCAAAAGGAAAACGTACAGCTAGGAAATACTGATTTATAATATATTGCTAACACAGCCATATATTTCTAATGGAAGTGCTGCTAGAAAACCCAGATGCTATAGCCAAGAATAACTATTGTAAGGATCACAGTTTGTCTATTTGTGGAGAACTAATACAGAATGTTTCTGTAGCAAGAATTCACAAATTGTTACTTCAGAACACTGCTTTTCCAGCTTCCCTCTTCAGAGAAAAATCATCCATGAAATAACGTTAGTGACATCATCAGTAGGACAAATAGAACATCTGTATTATTTGTATGTCAACGTGACACTCTCTACTCACGTACCTAACAGCACTGAAAGAATTTCTCCCCTGAGACAAGAGACTAAGAGACACGTTGTCTACAGAGGTGGGATTCATTTCACCTGGCTTTAGCTGTCCAACAGAAGAAGAGGTGCTTAGTCCAAACTGATCATCTAGTCTGGGCAGAACTGCCAAGACAGGGTGTTACAATCCCTTTAATTCATAGTAAGTGCAGGCCACTGCTTTAAGGATCCTGCTTCTCCTGTCCTTTCTCCCAGTGCATTCATGTTCTCCCCCTTGTGCTGGCACTAATATTTGTGTGACTGCCTAGTTTCCAAAAGACTGTCTCATGTCATTGCCTGTGCAGCTTCCCAGAAAGCTGAGTCTCCAACAGCTCTGATAGAGCAGTAAGCATAGCTTTTGTGTGACTGCCTAGTTTCCAAAAGACTGTCTCATGTCATTGCCTGTGCAGCTTCCCAGAAAGCTGTCTCCAACAGCTCTGATAGTGCAGTCAGCATAGCTTTGTAAAAACTAGATGAGATGAGTGGGGCTTTATATCCAAAGGACACAGTCCCAAAATCTAAATAAAGACCATAAGCACAGTTACTCAACTAGATCTGCAGTACTTGTAGGTAAGGCTTCTACTTCAAAGCAGCACGACAGGATAGGAACAATTCTGAGCTAAATTAAATTTAAGAAGAATTGCTTAACTCTGTTCTTGAAAACCTCTTTAAAAAAGAAAAAGAAAACAAGTCTAGTAACACATTGAAAACATATATATACAACAGTCATATTAAAGTGATGCTGCACTTGCCCTCAAAAGAAAGTAAAAATGGATTTTATCTCAATTTCCACTCAAAACTCTGCTGGTGTTTTTTGCCTAGGTGACTCAACTGTAACTCATTGAGGGACAAGGAAAAAACAGTAAAGCTCTCTGCATTCCTTCACTTTTTTACTAAGCATCTTAAGATAAAATAAGTCACACAGGACAAATTATTTTCTACTTCAGAGACAGTGTCCTCCACAAGTTACTTCCTCATATACCATAACCTCCATACTTAATGCCCTCCTTCAACTATGGAATTAAGTTATCGCTGTTCTGTGTAAGTCCTTCTGATGTGTCCAATAGCACAATTTCTGGAGACTCATTTGAAGACTTGCCTCAAAACAAAGAAAGAGATATTTACCTGAATGTAATAAACCCCCTTTTTCTGGGCATACATCATAAGAAAACAATAGTCCAAGTTTTGTTTTGTTCTCCATCTGAAATTAAATTAAAAGCTTAAGGATTATGAAAAAAAAATAATTTCAATACATGCTGGCAATGCAAAGTAAATCTCACTATGAAGAATGACACATATTAGTGAAATGTTAGGACAGCTGCTTTTGGCATTGTTCTCTCAGGAAATCCTCTGTCTGAAAAAGGAACACAGCTTTTGCCTTACGCTTTAACTCAGACATGAAACTGGTTTAGCTTGAATCTGATTTTGTGAAAACTACTTGACATTTCACTAAAAACACATGTGCATTTTAAATGGTAATTCAACAGGAATTACTGTATTTTACACTATTTCAGGATGAAAAACAGTAAACAAAAAAGTCTACTTACAGGAAAAAAGTATATCAAGTCTCAGTTCTCCACCCAAAATTTAATGCTAAATTAATTCAACCAAGCGTATCATTAGGTACTGATCATGCACAGAAGAGCATGCAGATAGGAATGAGAGGGATTCACAGAGCACTTTTAGCATCCCCACACTTTAAAGAATTACAGTAAGAAAACATTTCAAGAATTCACATCCCACTTGCCATTTCATAAACAACAAAAGTGTGGGTGTGGGAGGAGATGGGAAAAGATCTGGGGGAATAAACTAACCTCACTCTCTCTTTTGAATCTCCAAATGTCTCTTTCAAGTTTGTCAAGTCGGGATAGTACGATGCAGGAGGAGCTATTACTTCCACCAAGCCAGAATTGATCTCTGTAGAAAACCTGTCAATAGAAACATCCTAAAGTCCTATGAGAGATTCTGAGTTCTGTATCCTGCTTGCTTTCTGTTGGTACATTTATTCTGTCTGGTTACAATGACTTACTCAAACAAAGCATGTAAAATAAAAGTAGATACAAAAAAGTATTGTTTTCCCTAGCATCTTCTTCAGAGCAGTACGGCCTCTTACCCAATAATCAGAATTCCAACTAGATTCTAAACACTTCTTTTGCCTTTCTTTTTCAGAACCTAGTGATTTTTTTTCTATAGTTCTCTTTGAATATATGAGATACAACACCCAAGCACAGATATCACAAATTTCCATTCATGTTAAAACAATACCATCTGTTTATGTGACACCAAATAATTTAATCCCATTTATTATCTTACATTTTAACCGACTGAACCACTGCCCCTTAATTTGCCATCTATTACTTTTTTGTTTGAAAGTCCAAACCCCCAAGAAACAAAAATGCACGATCTCGTATTTCCAGAATACTTTTTATTACTTATCACAACCTGATTTAGGAAAAACCAAAAAGCAAAGCCACCAATAAGCTAAGAAATCCCCCATTAAAACCACAACTTACTCTTTTTCCAGGCTTGCAACAACACTGTTAACATAATCAAGATCGGTCTGAAAAAAAGAGAAAACACAAAACCCAAATATAATAGTTAACAGTTTTGGAGCTACATTTTAAAAGAACCCAATAAAATAAACATTGGAGATAGCTGTACTTGAAAATCAATTTCAGCATGTAAGATATTTGAGTAATACAGGAACGCATCACATATGTAACTATGTCTTATGTCTAATGGGAGAAGAAACAATTATTTTTTTTTAAACAGAGGGGAATAATATTTGCCTCATATCTGCACTTAACAGACAGTTCAAATCCAACTGTCGGCATTTTCTCACAACCTCTCATGCTCTTAATGACAAAACGATCACTGAGCATTTGTGTAGGAAGAACTTCATTTTATTGTTATATAATAATAATATATATGAAAATATTACCAAGGAAAGCTTTCTGGAAAACAGAGTATTGAACACACGCTCTTCTTTCAAAAATACATCTCCTAAACTCCGCATTTAAAGCCTGGATGCCCCGACCACAGACAGCAATGAACATACTGTTTTCCTGACTAGGGTTGCTTTTTTGCATCAGAGACTAAACTTGAGGAACTATCTAGTCCATCAATCACCCGATTCTTAAAGATGCACAGATTCTAAAAATTACTTGTTGGTTAAAATACAAATTGTGACATTCTGGAAAAGTCCAGATTATCTAACTTGCCAGAACTGACTGACTATTCAACCTGTTCACTTGATTGTACACATGCATTCCAGAAAAAGAGAGCCTGTGAACTCATAAACGTGACTGAAAACTCTAATCTTTGTTATACTCACTAATCTAATAATTTGACATACTATTTATCAGTTTTCAAAAGAAAATTTACAGACTATAACCCAATACAGATTCTGGTGGCTCACGAGGATTCTAGAGAAATAGCTGTGTTTGAAATGCTGGAAACAAAGGAACAGTTCATACTTTTTCTGATGAATTTGTAATGCAGGTTATCATTAAAGGATTATACACGGAAAGAATAAATCCCTCCCAAGCATTTCTATAGAACCACAAATCTTGTTTGATAAAGGTGCTTACCCTTTGATCTTAACAATCACCATTCCTATTCTAAAGATTTATTTTTAGAAAATCAAACACAATGCCAGTGACATACACTTTTCCAAAAAAAGAACAACAGTGGGTTTCTTCCAAAAGCAGGTTTTAAATACTACAAGAACATGTGAGTGGAAAGCCTTTCTCGTAATTTTTTCATATATGTTTTCTTCATAAGTGCTATGTCTAGTGCTGGACAGAAGTTCTAATAAGCAGATAAGGTGTTCACAATTTAAAACTCAACCTGCAGGGAGTTCCACAAAAGGAGACTCACAAGTCCATATGGACCTCGATAGATCACTAAGTCTTTAAATACACATATGGATTGTTCAAGCACAATTTATTACTGGAATGGAGTTTAAGACATAACTTTTTCTGCTGCGTATAACAGTTGCAAATCAGTGACTTAGTGACTACCTAAAAATAATGAGTATATCCATCTTTAACTAAACATTTTTTTTAAAACCTTTTAAACATTAAACATACAGAAATTGTTGTTTAGTCAGCATACAAAAAAGACAAACAATTTGAATTTCCAGTTGGCATGCCAAACTTCAATTACCTAGTCTAGCATTAGTAACTCAAATACTTGTTAAACAGTCCATACTGTAATTGTTGTACGTATATATACACACATATTATATATATATATA